CACTTAAATCCTAATAAAATATGATGAATCAAAAAATAGTTTATAGAGATAGATTGTAATTCAGACAGAGAAATTCAGTAAGTTCAGAATAAGAAATTTTAAGAGTAAGTCTATTTTATAAGACAGACTGTGTACAATCTGTCTTATAAAATTATTTAAATATTCATACAAAAATAATATAAAAATAGAATTAAGGGTATTTAAATAATTTTACAGGATGGACTGAAAGCAGTCTGCTTTGTAAAACAATTTTCTAAAAAACACATTTAGCAAAATAAGAATAAAAACTATTTTTACTGTGAATATAAATTTAAGGACCAAAAAATTAAAAGAAACATAGTTAGAGTACTAAGGTTTAAGAAGATTTTTATTAGGATTTCTGTTAACTTTAACTGCCTAGATGAAATTGAAATAAATGTGGAAGATAATAGACAGAATTGAAACAATTCAAAGATAATAGATGAAATTGAAATTAAACTGAAAGTTAGTAGATGATTTTTTGAATTAAGCCCATTTTCTGTGTTATATATACGGACCGATTATGGTTCGTATATATTCATTTAAATAATAATTTATTCTTAATTTTTTGTTATTTAATATTTTTTTTACCTAAAAAATGTTCGGACTATAGCCAGTCTAAATATTATTGGTGCTGTTGCACTGTTAATTCCCGCCATAAATAATGGACCGAAATCGGTCCGAATATTTTGATTAATGGATTTGGTACCACCTTAATATTTTTGGACTGATATTGGTTTGAATATATAGTTATACGGACCGACATGATTCGGTCCGTATATGATTGGTTTGAATTAATCATTTTTCTAGTAGTGAAAGATACTAGTGTATTGTAATAATTGCTACTTGTAAAAAAAAAAAAAAAAACACTCTGATGGTTCATTTTATCAAATAAACATACTTAACAAGAAACTAATATAAGACAAAAAAATTTTAATCATTATTCATTTAAGTTGTTAAATTTTTATATGAAATTTATATTTAAAAAATTAAAAAATTAAATTAAATTTAGGTTAAACCCCCATTTTTGTCCCTCAACTATTGTACGAACCCCCGACTTAATCCCTCAACTCAAAAAATCCTTGATTTGGTCCTTATTGTTTACGATTTTGACCCCGATTTAGTCTCTTCATTAAAAATCCACCTACGTGTCTCGTTAGTTAATGAGAAAGGATGACATGTCAACATATTAAATACACGAAGGAAGATAGCATGGCAAAAAAGTACTTAAAAAATTCTCTTTCTTCTTCCTTGCCTTCTACAAACTCTAAAGACAAAACTTGCAATTACCCCCAATGAAACATGCAATTTCATCCTTTCATTTTTTTTTTCTTTCTCTATCCCTCCACCAACACCAGATCTAGACCCTTCCAATTTCTCTCTTTTGCTGGGTTTGAAAGCTGGTTCAAAGGAACCCCACACAATTGAGTTTTTTCGAAACCCAATAGTCACTAGGTCGATTGAACCCAACAGGTGCGCTAGGTTTGAAATCGAACCCAGCAACCACTTCTTCTTCCTCTTCCTTTCCTTTCACCTTCTGCAAACCCATACACTTTCGAACATCAAATCCAAGTATAACACAAACATTAAACATAAACCCAGAATCTCCCCAAAATAGACATGCCCTTTCAACCTTCCAAAAGACCCAGAAAAATCAAGGTCTTCTCAATCAAACCCAACAATAGTTCTTCAATCGAACCTATTATTTTTCAATCAAACCTACATCAATCAAATCGAGCATTCTTCAATTAAACCCATTAGGGTTCTTCAATCGAACCCAACAATGCTTGCTAGGTTCGATCGACCAACCTAGTAGCCGAACCCAGCAGGACCCAACAGGTGCTCTTGAGTTCGATCAACGAACCCAGCAAGCGTTCTTGGGTTCAATTGACGAACCCAGTAGGCGAACCTAGCAAGACCCAACAGGTGCTCCTGGGTTAGATCGACGAACCCAGCCAGTGTTCCTAGGTTCGATGATCGAACCCAGTAAACCAAGCAGGTGCTCTTGGGTTCAATCGACGAACCTAACAACCGTTCCTCGGTTCGATCGACAAACCGAGCAAGACCCAACAGGTGCTCCTGGGTTCGATTGACGGACCCAGCAAGCGTTCCTGAGTTCGATCGATGAACCTAGTGAGCATTGCTAGGTTCGATTGACGAACCTAGCGGCGCCTATTGAGTTCATGAATCGAACCTAGAATCCCCCAACGAACAAAGATCTGGGAGAAGAAGAAGAACATAAGATGCTAGAGATGAAAAAGTAATTGATGTGTGGTTGAAGATGAGGGAAAAAAGTAATTTTAATTTTATAATTAATTTAAGATATTTTAATTTTTACTAAAAATTATGTGTCAAAGTTTTATATGCCATGCTGTCAATCCTACATGTCAAAATATTTTTACATGTCATCCTTTCTCATTAACTAAGGGGACACATAGTGGATTTTTAACGGAATGAGCAAATCGAGGTCAAAATGGTAAACAGTAAGGATCAAATCAAAGAATTTTTTAGTTGAGGGACTAAGTCGGGGTCCGTACAATAGTTGAGGGACCAAAATGGGGGTTTAACCTTAAATTTATTGAAAATAAATTGAGGGAAAAATCGATTATGCTATATTTTTTATATAGATCAACGCTTGTTAATTGAAACACTATAAAATTATGTCATTTATCGAAAGTATTACGAAAAAATATCAAAATTAACTTATTCTTGATTTAAAAATAAATTATTTAGTTTTTCAACAAAAGTTTATTAAAATAACATAATTTAAGTATAATTTTTCATCTAATTTTTTAAAAATTTTGTTGGCAAATACTTTTCTCTATTTTACAATACTTTATAAAATATATCCAATATAAGGGATATGAGCTTTTATAAGTTATCTTAAATTTTTTATTAAGGTCTTGCTTAAAAACTTAATTTTTAATTAATATTTTTTAAATTCAACTATCAAGTTAAATGTTTTATATCACACATGTCAATTTTTAAATTAATCTAATAGGGTTAGTAGTTTATTGATTATAAAAAATT